AGCAGTATTGCCATCAAGTCTTGCCCGCACGACGGCTCTTTTCTTAGTCTACCTCATGACGGCGGAACGGGTTTCCCAATCGGTCAACTGAATGAGATGAACAGCGAGGGGGTACGGTTCGCAAAGGTGAACTCGTGGATGGACGTAGTCGCTGTAAGGCAGAAGGAGGAAACAACACTACTGCTGCTGCCCGACGGATTCCGAGAAGTTGCTACGATATTAAAAGCGCAGGGCCAAGTCGAGAGGAAAGTGTACTGGAAAATAATTGAAGTAATCATGTGGTTGGATACGGCAGGAGCGAATGCGTGTATACTCGCCGGTCCTACATGTGCTGTTTCGCCACCGAAAAAGGAGTGGTGTAAACTGGCATCGGAAATAGCAACAGCTGCTCGTGATGGAATGGAGATTCTGTTGATCGTGCCGCTCCGTGGAGAGCCAGCATATGCACAGAATAGGATGGAGCTGACCCAGGCCGTTGAACTTGCAAGGAAGTCGGTAGAGCTTATGTCGCGAAATATTGTCGGCCTGATACCGATGATAGAAAGCGCATGCGAACTTTTACATGGGCAGTCAGCACATCGAAGCACTGCAATGCTGACGTTTATTCAGCAGAAACAGTGATTGGATATTTGCAGGTTCTAAGGGAGTATGTAAAGCCAGAAATCAATCTTCATCGTTTCGTCAGGACCTCTACACATCGAAACCAACGTGTACGAAACTACTTCAAGGCCAAGTGAGAAAATCGTTCTAGACAGGAATGCCAGGCACATCCGTATCGAAGTGTGAACCACACATTTCCATATCGATTGCTCATGTCCACAAAAAGCAAGACCGTCAAGCGAGGACCTCTCAGAAAGGGCAACTGTATCGTGGCAGAAGATCTTATCAGTAAGCCTAAGAGGGGAGGGCACCTCTTCATCCTGGGGGTTGTACCCGAGAGGCCCTTGAATACAATTGATTTGATCTTGTTCTTATTGGCCATCGCGCGAGAAATAGGAATGCATAAGCCGTCGTCACTATCATTGGGCAATCACTTCGTTGTGTTGCGGCGCTACGCCGTCTTTTTCTAATTTGATTTGTTTTTTTTTTATTTGTGTCGTTCGCTCGTTTGCGATAAAGAATTTTTTGTGTTATCGCTGACTCCTGTTTGAGGACCGGCCATAATAACTTGTCGTTACTTGCGTCATTTCGCTACAATATACTTTGTGATTAAAGTTTCTGTGATATGATTGAAAACGGTTGAACTTCTTAGTAATAAGAATACCTAAAATAAGACCCAAATTTGTAAGTAAAAGTAGTTAGTTAGTGTAGTTAAGTTTGTCATTGTTGGAAAAAACCGTGCGAAGACTTACCCTGCTTGTCTCATCATTTTATACTGAGCTATCTTCAATCCACCTGCCATTGGGATCGTAGTTGAGGTGTTTTGAATGCAAAAGCACGATGTTCTTGGGCAAATATCAGAGAAGCATTTCGTTCGGGGACTCGATGGCGGATGACTCATCAAATCAATTTTTGAGTGCTCAAAAATGCAGTTGTTTGAGCCGATGTGCGGTAGCCACTTTGTCGTGGTGAAGAGTGATCCGTCCTCGGCTGTGGTTTTCCTGATTTTTTGGAAGGCAACTGTCAAACAAATGGTTGTATACCACTCAGAATTGACTGTTCTGCTTGTTCTAGTGATACGGTTGCGACATGTCCAGTTTTTCCAAAAAAAACAGGCGATCATTTTCTTGGAAATGCTTCGTGCGCGGACAGCTTTTGTTGGATTTGGCTCATTTTGAAATACCCATACGGTCGACTGCTATTCAATTTCGGGCTCATACGCGTAAATCCATGAACCATCATCTGCCTCGATGCCATAGACGTGTTTAGAAGCACCACGATCGTATTTTTTTGAGCATTTTTTTTCTCAATCGACAACCTTTTCTTGAGCGATTGTGAACAAATTTTTTTTGGCAGTCAAAAGGTCGTGCAATATTGAATGTATGCTGGTCCCACTAGTGCCCTAAGGTTGTCTCAATCACACGATAGGTCACATGACGATCTTGCAATATTAGTTTGCGCACAGCATCAATGTTTTCCGGAACAATAACTGATTTTGGGCGACCTCAACTAAGTTAGTCTTGGAGTGCGCTACGTCCTCGGTTGAATTCACTATACCATCGATAATCACCGGTCCTTGATGGAGTTTCATCGTCAAAGGGAGAGTGGAAGGTCAAGGGGGAAGGAAGTTTGGCCTAAGTAGGGGTGGGGGCGATAAAGGGAAGGTCTGGCCTAAGTAAATTTTTTATGTTAGGGTAAACAATACGAAGAGCGTTCAATGTCAAAACGTCGTGGGTACGTATAACCTCAAAAATGTCAAACTTTACGATAGAGCTCTCAGTTGCCAGATTGCAACGCTAGGGTTGCTTAATCCCGAAACATAAAAGGAACAGTCTCTAGTCATTACTGGAAATGTAAAGATCTCAAGTCAAGGAAGTTTTGAGAGAGAAATGAGAAAGCTCAATATTCCATACGGATTTTCCTATACTGCAGAAACGCATGGCCTATCCTCTCTACCTTCTATCTTTAACATAAATCCCTAGGTAATGGGTATTTCACTGAGTTATATCTAGTGCTTAACAGGTTGGTATCCCTCGAAAAATGACCGTTATCTAGGCACATAATGTGTGTCATGGATGTAGTGTAAAAAAAGGCACAACTAATGTCATAATACTCGCTAGTCATTACCCGAATTGTAAAGCTCTCAAGTCAAGGAATTTTTTGAGGGAGAAATGAGAAAGCCCATTGTTCTATACGAATTTTCACGTACTGCAGACACGCATGGTCAATCCTCCTCTACCTTCTATCTTTGACATAAATCCCTAGGTAATGGATATTTCACTGAGTTATATCTAGTGCTTAACAGATTGGTATCCCTCGAAAAATGACCGTTATCTAGGCATATAATGTGTGTCATGGATATAGTGTAAAAAAGACACAAGTAATGCCATGATATTCAAAAATATCTCCACCACGAGGTCGTTCTGAAAATTTTCTCAAATGAACAGCTGTTCATTTTGTGTCATGACTAGGGGGTGTAGACTCTGCGCAGCAGACTCTTTAGTGGAGGTGGTGCGCACAACAATGCTTCTCTGATATTTGCATGAGAACACCGCGCTTGCATTCGAAACACCTGCAGCTACGATCCCAGTGGCAGGTGGATTGAAGATCGCTCAGTATAAAAGGATGAGATTCCTGAGAGCTCCATCCGTTCAGCAAGTCTCATCATGCTTTTATATGTTGCTTGTGCTCTTTTGCTGCTTAACGCCCAAACAACATTAGCTTGGAGCTTGGATCCAAGCAGAGTAAGTCATCGCACGGTTTTTTTCAACAATGATAAATCCATGCACGTACACCATGGAACCAAGACATTTCCGTGAAATTGTAGCAGCACATCCCAATTTCTTAGACGGAAATGCATAGAGTT